ATTGTCCAACTCTCTGATGCATGACAGGTGATTGCGAAGACCATAGCCTGTATCAGATGCACCTTAGTCTCCAGAGAGACACCATTGCTCTTCAGTACGTTGGAGAGGTCCCTAACAGCAGATTTTCCCATGGTAATGCGCCTTTTAATTTCCTGGCTGCTGGTGCCAAGACTGTTGACTATGGAGCCAAGCAAACTAAAGCTGCGTACAATCTCAATCTCTTCACCATCCATCCTGATGCTGCCGATTGGTCCAGTGGTGAGAATCTTTGTCTTCTTGACATTGAGCCTCAATCCATATTGTAGGCTGCATTCCTTGACACTCTGCAGCAGGTGCTTCAGGTCCTCTTCAGTTTCAGCAAGCAGGGTTGTGTCATCCGCATAATGCAGGTTGTTGATAAATCATCCACCAATCGTGACCCCACATTTCTCCTCATAGAGCCCAGCCTCCCGGATAATCTGTTCTGCATATAGGTTGAAAAGGTATGGAGATAAGATGCATCCCTGGAGTACGCCCTTCCCAATTTTGAACCATGCAGTGTTCCCTTGCTCTGTTCTGACGACTGCCTCCTGGTCCAAGTATAAGTTTCGCATTAGAACGATCAAGTGTTCTGGGATTCCCATTCTTCTCAGAGTCAGCCATAGTTTGTTATGATCTACACAGTCAAATGCCTTTGCATAGTCAATGAAACACAGATAGACATTCCTCTGGTATTTCCTGCTTTCAGCCAAGATCCATCTAACATCAGCTACAATATCTCTAGTACCACGACCCCTTCTAAACCCAGCCTGGACTTCTGGTAGTTCTCTGTTGATGTGCTGTTCCAGTCGTTTTTTGGATAATCTTCAGTAAAATCTTGCTTGCATGTGAAATCAGTGAGATTGTTCTGTAGTTTCCACATTGTGTTGGGTCACCTTTCTTTGGGATAGGAACAAATATCGATCTCTTCCAGTCAGTTGGCCAAGTGACTTATAGGAATCTAAATTTTATCCTGTACGCAGCACGTAATCTTTAAAGTCTCATAAGCAAGTGAACTAATTTTCCCATTTGAAGAATCAGACTGACATACTGAGGGAGTATAATATATGAGAGCAAAGATATAGCTCTGAAGTTAGCCAGCTTGAGTTTGGATGGTTATTTTACCCTGAGATTAGATTAGAAAGAGGTCTTTGGGTAAATACTTAACTGTGATATTTTGTAAAGGAAGAACAGCAGTGTCTCCCTTGTGTAATTCTGTTGTTATGAACCCTTGAGCCAAGTTTGACTCAGAGCGAAACTATGAACAACAGATCTGAACCCTATCCTATCCTGTGTCATCTTCATCATCTCCAACACACTGGATCCCACTGCTGCAGTCAAGCCATCCACTGTGTCAAGCCCTCCTCTGTGTCAATCCATACACTGTGTCAATTCATCTGGTTCAGGATCTTCCTCTCTTTCACTGACTTTTCCACCCTTCCAAGCCTGATATCCCTTTTCCAAGAAAGTATGTGAGAGAAGCTGTACCATACCTTCCTTGCCTTTAAGGAGTCCTCTGACTGCACCTTCTCCAAGATATAGTCTGTGATATATTCAGCACTACTCTTTAATACCACAGTTCAAAGACATCAATTCTTCTTCAGGAACTTTTACTCATTGTCCAGCTCTCAGATGCACAGCAAGTGATTGAAGAAAATCACGTCCTGAATCATGAGCACCCTACATTACACAAACTGTGCTCCTTAGTACTTTGAAGAGGTTCCTGACAACAAACTTTCCTAATGCAATGTGTCTTTTAATTTCTTGGCTGCTGGTGCCGTGGTATTGATTTTGTGGATCCATGTAAGATGAAGCTGCTGGCAATTTCAATATTTTCATAATGTTGCCTATCAGCCCAAAGGTGACAATTTTTATTTTCTTTATGCAGAGATATATTCCATACTGAAAGTTGTAGTCATTGACCTTCTGCAGCATATGCTTCAAGTCCTCACTTTCTTTTTTTTCTCTTTTTAAAAATTAATTTTAATGAAAGTTTACAGACTTAGGTTTTCCAGTCATTCATTGTTGCGCTTTTCTTCCTACCCAACCCCACCTTACCCCCCAATTCACCCTTCTCCTTGAAAAGAAAGAAAAACTCTTTCATTGTTATCTAATCCCTCCCACCCGCAAGCAGGCAAAGTAGTGTCATCTTCATAATACATGTTGTTAATGAGTTTCCCCCCATCCTAATGCCACATTTTTCTTCAGAGTCCAGTTTCTGAAATGGTTTGGTCAGCATAAAAAATTGAATGGCTATAGAGAAAGGCTACGGCCCTGACATATGCTTTTCCTGATTTTAAACTATATACTGTAGTACTAAGTAAGTGAATGTAAAAAAAGAAATAAACTGTGCTAAGAACACATGTGCTTATTGGAATTACTACTAATACTATTTGCTAATTGGATGATCATATAAAGACTTCTTTTGACCTCTTCTTCATTACCACAAATCCCTAACAGAATGGTCTGTTTCTCTAATACCATCACCAATATTTTCCTGGTGTAGCCCTAGTGAGACTGCTAACTAAAAGGAGGCGTAAGTTCAAATACACCAGCCACTCGGTGAGAGAAAGATTAGTTCTCCTCTCAGTAAGACTTACAGACTTGAAAACCCAGTAGAGGGCTACCCTCAGTAGGAATCCACTCAACAACAATGAGGTTGGATTTAATGAATAAAAAGCTTGGTCTTACGGGAAAAGATTATCAAAAAAAGGCTCCAAGTTCTCCAGAACCTCAGGCTGTATGCTCTGTATGTGAAACATTTATTTTTCTCAAGAAAGAACTTAAGATTTTCATTGGAAATTCCCTAATATGAAGTTCTCCTAAGTAAATTAGACCTTCTCTAGCCTGTTTCCCCTTTTAAATACTAAGTTCTTAGAAATACAGTTAATCAACATTGACATGCTTCCTTTTTATAGGATCTGTTCCTTCAAGGCATAGATGATTATTATTTAAAAATAATAATAATCTTTTTACTGAAAAGCATCTCAAAATGATAGATGTAAAATAAGCAATTTATAAACAATCAGCAACTGAATTATAAACATAAATTCACTGCCATTGAGTCTGTACCAACTCATAGGGACCTTTCATTAGGTTTCTGAGAATCTAAACTGTTAACAGAAGAATACTTCTCGTTTTTCTTCCAAGGAGCAGATGGTGAATTTAAATAAAACTTCGGGTTAGCTGCACAACTCATGACAAGATTAAACCTCAAGGGTTCAATCAAATAAATATCTGTTCCCAAACTTCACAAGTGCGGTCTTAGCACTTATTTTAGCAGAGAGTATCAAATAAATAATTACTCATTGTAATCATAATCAACTATAAGGGACTTTCTTTATGATTTATAAAGATTAAGTGATATCGTTACTTAAATTTCTCCCCCTTTAAAAATTATCTATTTACTAACATTTTATTGAAAGCAGTATATCTTAGAAGTTCATAATAGTTATATAATCAGTATATGAAGGGAAATTTGAATTGCATACTCAAAATACAACTAGAAAAAAGACATGATGTAGAAATTGGGTTTTTAAGTAAAAGACGTAATAGAAAATATTCTCTAAAAACTTAAAGAGATAGCAAATATCTGTTGCTATAACTATGCACCAGAGTTGATTTTGGCTCAAAGTAACCCTGCAGAAAAGAGTAGAATTGTATGTAGGGTTTTTTACAGTTTTAATCTTAACGTACTTAATGGTAAGGAATTGTATTGCCAATACAAAGATACGCAGATAGAATCTATCAGCTGCTCTGTGGGAGGAAAATGGGCAATCTTTTCCCTAGTGATTTGGAAACCCACTGGGTGTCATCTAATAGTTGTTTCCAACTCAACAGTACAAATAACAAAGCTTAAGAGGAGTGGATCACCAGTCTTTTGTCCTGCAGAGGTGCTGGTGGGCTCAAACCACCATGCTTTTCAGTTTGAAGTCAAGTTCTTAACCATTATGCCACCAGACCACCTGAGACTACAACTACCAATCTCAAATTCAATGTTTTATAATTTGTAGTATTTACAAATCTCAAGTAAATTGAGATTGTTTCTAAATTCCACCCAGTAGGAAAGTTTTCAACAATCTCTAAGAGGACAAACATTACAAAGGGAATTGAGGAGGAAAGAAAATGTGTATAAATGAATAAATGAAAGAAAATCTGTTTATAAACTTTTACTAAAATCACAATTTAAAAAGGCTCAAAAAGGTAGCAAATGAGACCTGTAGAAACAGAAAAACATGTTTAAAGACTCTATCAAAATGATGTCACTTATCTTTAGGTTAAATAAAAAATGTAACTAAAATTTTAAAATATTTACATATATATCTCAGATTTTTACATATTAAAAACAGTCTGTCTTGGAGAATAAGTTGTTAGGAGAGATCACCCCTTGCCGAAATACATCTGCGGTGGGAAAGTTGAGGGTCAGAGAAATAGAGAAAGACTTTAATGAAATGGACTGACACAGTGACTATAGCAATGGGCGTATATCAGATTGTGAGGATGGGTGAGGATAGGACACAATTCAGATACGTTATTTTTAGGGTTGCTGTGAATCATAGTTAAACCTGTGGCACCTACCAACTACAACTAATATTTTATATATAATATAAAATGGACCTTTGGCAAAAATTAGGGAGGTCTGGTGGCCTAGTGGGTAAGGAATTGCACTGTCAACCCAAAGGCATACAGTTCAAATACACCAGCTGCTCTGTGGGAGAAAGATGGGCAATCTCATGTGCTTTATATAGCCTCTGAAAACCCGCTGGAGGGTCCAGCTATGAGTCAATTCTTACTCGGGGGCATATAATCACAACAATGGTAAAAATTAACTCTTGAAGATATAGCACATATACATTAAAATTAATTCACACAGTTAAGTCATATCATCTTTAAGTTGACTATTTTTTAGGGGTGTATAATTTATTAAATTGCAATCTTATAGATCTATATTCAAGAGAAAAAATAAAAAAAGAATGGCTTACTTTCCTCTAGTTGATTCGAAATTTGGTCTCTGATGGTCAGTTCTTTGGCTTCTGCTGCTGAGATGCATCCTCTGCAGGGATTCATTTCCTGCACTTTCAGTTGAGTTAAGACTTTGTTGATTCGACTTTCTGGCAAAGCTCTGAAGAAATTTCAGTGTTGAGTTGGAGAGTACCACTGATTCTGCCCCAGGATTCAATCTGGTGCTAGAATTGCTCAGGAGAGCAAGAGTGTGAAACTTTACCACTTCTGCATTGGCTTTGGATGTGAGAGTTGAGTTTTTCTCAAGTTTCTGAGGTTCACTTGTCTTTGAAGGAAGTAATGTTGATTTCAGAAGACTTTTATCAGAGGTTCTTGCCTCAGGAGTTGTAGGTGTCTCAGCAGATATGATCTCAGTGGTAGGTACTATTTGAAGACTTTGTGTTTTATTTAGAGCAACTGAAACAGTAGTCAAGTCCTTCAGGGAAGGTTCATCCTTAGGTGTAGTCCAAGTATAAGTAGTGCTGTTAACTCCAAGGCCTCCACTCCATAAACTAGAAAGTAGAACAAATAGGCTTGCTTTCTTCATTTCAGCAGTTTGAAAAAGAGAAAATTCATGTGAAATTAAATTATAAATCTCTTCCAGTCTCTTCAATAGCTATTTCTACACTGAACATGCTAGAACAGAGGCTTGCCAATTTGAGATAAGTAGAGGAAACAGGTTTCTGTGTTCTGCAGTGATCTGAGGAAGTTTGATTTCCTGTTGCTGGAGGTTTTTTGGTGACCTCTGACCACGTGTAGGATGGATCTATGAAAGTGATGAAGAGTCTTTGGTGAAGCCAAGGCTAAACAGGAAAACACAAGCAATTGTTACCACGAAAAGCCATGAGAAAAAAACATCAATTATTTTTCTTTCCTACATAGATTCATGTTTTGTATGTCACTGATTTTGAAGAGCTTTAGAATGATCCAGGGGGAGGATAGGATTTTGCTTAGATGGACTGAATGAAGGAATTTAACATTTTGTTCTTCTATTCAGGGAAATTGTGGAAATACTGCACATTTTTGTAACATGTCTCTTCTATTGGATTTCATCCATAGAGCCACATTTTGCAGAGACAGACATACAAATTAAAAAATTAGATTTCAATACAATATATGTACCCATTCACATATTACAGACTGATGAAACACACAAATGCGCATACATACACTTGCATAATAAACTTCAGCTGTAGTATTACTAGAAATTAATCTCAATGATCCTAAGTAATATTAAATAAATAAATAAAGGCATAAATAAATGAATTCTATAAATATATAAAAAGTAATTTTACATTTTACTCTCAGAATTTTTACCAGTTACTGCAAATGAAATAAATAAAAATTTTACTTCTATTTCCCAGTTTCCCAATTCTTACTTTCTGGTGGTTGAGTTAATTTTTCTCACTAGGGAGTAGATAAAAAAGTACAGTCATGATTAAGTAAATTACAATGAGATCATAAATATTTCATGCTTTCAAAGGTATACTAGCAGAAATAGTTGACCAAGTTAATCAATCACTTTTCATTGGTTGTTCTCCTGGTAGAAATTATTCCTGGAACTTTGTATTTCACTTCTCTAGGATGTCTCTCACCCGCAGACTACAATGAACTTCTTGCACCTGTGAATTACCATGGACAACACCTGAAATGGTTATGATACTTATACAATTGATTCATTGATTCAACAGTCATTCAAACCCCCAGTATACGCAATACTATTTATATTGCTTTAGGTGAAAGTTTACACAGAAAACAAACTTCCTCTTTAGTAATATTCCTATCAACTGCCTCATGCAATTGACTACAATTGTGGTGTTATATCAGCATTCTCATTATTTACATTTTGTTTTTTATTCAGCTTCCCCTTCTCCCCCTGGCCTTTTTATCTTTGTTTTAAGTTAAAAGTGGATAATTTAGTGTCAGGTAGTTAATTGTTTAGGGGGACCCATTAATCACCAGAGATATTGTTTATTTTTTTAAGCCAGTATTTATTTGTGGGAAAAACAACCTACATAAGTTTTTTTTCCCCAAATCTAAGTTGTTGTGGTTTATATAACCTGATAGTCTCATGAAGTATTGCTCATGGAGAAAAATCAAGAATATTCTTGCCTCACAGTTTGCTTATGCTTTGCTATGTGGTGATGAAGACAAGGGTCCATTTGTAAGAAATCTTTCTGTTAACTTAGTATTTGTTACAAATAGATCCAACTTTCAAATACCATATAATAAGCACATTTTCCTGTTAACTTCTATGGGAGCTCTGATGGATTAGATGGTAAGAGATTGCACTGCCAACTCAAAGGCAAGTGGTTTGAATCTACCAGCTGCTTCTCAGGATAAAGATAAACAGTCTCCTTCAGTGACATTTACAGTTTCTGAAAACTCACTATGTGTTGGTTTTAGTTCAGACTCAATGACAAAGGGAGAGAGAGTTAACTTCTGGCCCAGGTAATAGGCTATTATTATATTTTCAGTCATAAAATATTTTCCAGAATTGAATAATTAGAAATTTGTTCTCTATTTGTTTATATATCTAGGAAATATGCGCTACATGCACATCTGTATTTTGAAACAAGGCCTAATGATTTTCCCCCCCTAAACTACTAAGTACTGAAACAAAATCTGCTGTCAAGGATCTCTATAAATTGATTAAAAGCAAGGATATAAGTTTAAAGACTACGGTGTGCTTGATCCAAGCCATGGTATTTTCAGTTGATTCCACTGTATCTGAAAGTTGCATGAATAAGAATGATAGAAGAAGAACTGATGCTGTTGAATTGGAATGTTAGAGCTGAGTACTGAATAGTCCTTGAATAGCCAAATGAATTGACAAGTCTGTCTTGGAGGAAGTGTCACTAGGGTGCTCCCTACAGACAAAGATCATGAGACTTCATCTCATGCACTTTGGACCTATTGCCGAGAGGAACTAGTCCTTGGGAAAGGACATAATTCTGGCGATGATGGAGAGTTAAAGGAAGAGAGGAAGATACTCAAACAAGGTGGATTGATGTAGTGACTAGCAATGGATTCAAGCATATCAGTAATCATGAGGATGGCACAGGACAGGACAAGGTCCAGATTTATTGTTCATAAGGTTACTATGAAGGTCTGCTTGATGGCACCAAACAACAATAACACCACTAACTACTTGGCCCTAACATTTCCCACTTCACTATTCACCATTAATTTCTGCAAGCATATTGTCCACATGTATAGTAGTATAGTATGGGGTTGATTCAACTAACATACACTGATACAGAAACCACAGCACAATTTGATGTGATGGTCAAAAGCTTGTGTTTTGTCTGATATGCCACAGAACAACTCCACAAACTGCATATTTAAGGACAAAAGGTACAGACACAGTTCAGCTAGGCAGCAATTCATTATTAAATAGAACAATGAAACCACTTAACTTTCACAAGACAAATATTGTTTTCAATACTAAAGAAAGAAAACAAACATATTACAACTTCATCATCTAGAAGGTAAGAGCAGCTAGATCTGACTTAGAGCAGAACAAAGAGTCAATTAAAAAATTAAACTTTGTTTCTATTTAGTGCCTGAGTTAAATCCATTTCCTTTGAATTAGTAAAAGTACATTAACAGACAATATGGAAGATTTCAGAAGAAAAAAAGTAGAATAAAGGCAAAGGGGGATTTTTGGAAGGGACCTCTATGCTCTAAAAAAATGCCTTTGTCCTAACCTGAAGTGAAATAAATTCTGGGATGAAGGGTCATGTACTGAACCTATAATAGATAACGAATAGCTATCAAATAGTAATACAAAAATCTGGACTGAGCTAAGCAATTCATTTCACTTCTAGAAAGGTATTGATCAAGATGACGTTTAGTCATCACAATCCTAGCTTACAAGTGACCTTACGCTCAAAAGGCTAAAGGTTCTGTATCTCATTATCAATCCACTAAGCCATTTTGTGCTGTAACTCCCTGGAGAAATCCTCAGCTCATTTGGCGGTTTTAGGTCTATGGATCAGTCCTTAATTAGAGGCATAAAGTATTTGTACTCCAGAAATCTTTAGAAGCTTAACCTCAAACTCTGCTTTGTGAGACTCATTAATACCCATCAAATCACATTTAAGAAAAACAATATTCCTAAGAGGACAGCCTGTGGGATACTCAGTAAATTAATTCCTTTAAATACTCTCAATACTATCCTTGGATTAAAATATGCCTTCACTCTCTTATATACCTAGACTGCATCATTCTGATGAAACTCCATTGCCCAATAGAATACTAATATTAAATTATGTTTTACCCTATTGTCATGTATTCACCCACCCAGAATAATTTTATAATAAAAAATAATCTCACTTTAATTATGTGCTATGAAGATTTTCATGCTGTTTTTAACTTTTATAAACATGGAATTGAATGTCCTCCAAAATAAGTTATTCTAGGTGATGAGATAATGGATTCATCCTTTTATTTCATTGACATTACCATGAATTAATCTAAAATAACAAGTAAAATAAAAAGAATTATTTAGTTTGAAAGGAGTATAAATAAAAGTTAAAACTTGAGAGTAGGGAGCTCATGAACAGATATTGTACTGTTTTATTCAGTTGTTTTCATGGCTTCAGAAGTCATTCTTTGTAAATCAGTGAAATGCAGGAATTTTGTCAAGGTTAATAGAAAAATCTTTACAATTCTTCCTTTTTATTTATGTGAGAAATTATTATTTTCTTAAAATACTTTTATGACTATTAAAATTAAAATGCTTCACAACATATTAAATAAGATTTCATATAGTCCTCTATGACTTAAAACCCTGTCAAAAAGAATTTAAAATAACCAAGTTTTAAGTAGTTTTCAATTTTAAGTTGGTTGAAAAATATTTCAAAATGGTTACATTTAAGTGTTAAAGGAGTTATAAATATAAAGCAGAAGACTTAGAGAAAAGTAAATAATTTACATTTTTATTTGTGTATATGAAATTTTCAAAACTGATTTAACTACTTAAAAATTATACCTCTTAATGCAGGTAAAGTATGTATTACTATTTTTAAAGAAAAAGAAAAAAGTTT